GACCTGAGTATGTTGCTGATGATTCTGGCTACTCCAGTCGGATCGGCCATGCGTGTCCTCAGGATGAGGTTTATCACAGGGGTGACCGCGACGGAGCAAGAATGTATTCGGCCAGAAACATGAGTACAAACTATTCATTGCCATATGCGACCTCATGTCCGCAGCTGAAGGGTTTCTCGCGTCAAGCACGCTTTCCCTACGCCAGCACGCTTTCCAGCCAAACTCAGGACACCCCTGAATATTCTTCGGATTTATACCGCAACAGTGGTTCTCACAGTAAACAGTTATTCTACATATCTCAACCGAAAAACGTGAAAAGCCCTGACTCTCGAAATGCTGCCACTGCCACCATGTCCAGACTGTAAGAGTAAGAGCACCCGCATTTTTATTCTTTGTCTCCATGAAGTGAGCGGCCCAAGGGAATCATTTCAGCTCTTAGCCATTTTTGAGTGTAAGCATGTCATTTTTTTGTTGTATTCAGTTTTGTGCATTGTTTAAATTAAATTTTAATCTCGGTTTCACTCCTAGGCTGAATGACCCACATCCTACAACCTTACTTCCGTTATTTCCGCTGATTTTATAGCAACAACTACGTTCTGGTCTCGGCCTCTGCTTCATAAAGCACCTGTGACGTAAACTTTTTTCTGAACAGGGGCCATTTGTTTGGTTAAACTTGTAAAGTATGAGGTAGCACTGTCTACTTTCTGTACTTTTCCAAAGGCTTTAAAAGCGCCACATGAAAATTATTACCTTACCGAGTATTTAAAAAGGTTTAAATTTTTTTCTTTTATTACAGTCTACACATAAAGAGTTGATACTGAAAGTGGTAACCCCCAGATGCAATATTAAAGTTACATGTCCATCGTTAGTACTGCTGGTACAATTATTTGGCTTCGGCGACCTCAGCTGATGATCTAGCGATTTTTTTGATAAATATTTAGCAGTAAGATAGATTATTAATAAAATGAAAGAACGCTCAATGGAAAATCAGTGTATTAATGGTATGAAATTTATACGTGGCGAATTACTACACAAATAGTATATTTTAAAGCGTAACATTTACATAAAGTCTAAACGATTTAATCCATTATTCGTTATACAAACTGCTTTCAGTTAAAATTAGCATTTTAATATGCATGAAACACCAATCTCGATTACTTTGTCATGGCACCAACTTCCTGCTCTTTACTGTATAGGAGGCCAGTTAAGCAAGCCATCTCTCTAAATCGTTTTGTTCGTCAGAGTACTATACTTCACATTGCTTACATTGATGCTTCTAGAGCCTATACTCCTTATGCGCTCATAAGCGAAAACAGTGGCATTGCTTTAGGTCAGTAAAATGAATCGTTTATGTACTGCAAATGATAAAATAACATGGAATTTTAGGACACGCTTAAATTGCTTCCTAAATGTTTAAGAGCAAGGAAGCAAAGAAATAACGGCCTGAAGCCCCGTTTAGTTTTGCTAGCGTACGATCAGACTTTTAAAGTAGGTTTTTTGCCTAGCTTGTTTCAAGATAAATACACGGTGCTCTGCTTCTGCCCATAAAATATGAAATA